GGAAAGTACCTAAGGGTCAATTAAAGCTCGAATCGCAACGCGACTCGGAGATTAAACCCGAAATGGTTAAACTACGATATGCTAAGGGCACGGCATAAATGCCACTATCGCCAGCTAAAGTGAGCCTCCGGGCCATGCACTTGTAAGGTCGCTTCAACCCTTGCACAAAAGGCCATCGTTGCCCGCCCATGCAGGTAGAAAAGAGCTTAAGGGTCAATTGGAACTCGAGTCGCTTGGAGACTGGACCCAAAACAAGTAAACTACAATATGCCTAAGGGCACGGCATAAAAGCCACTATCGCCAGCTGAGTGAGCCTCCAAGCCACGTGCCTGTGAGGTCATTTCGACCCGGAACACAAATGGCCATCGTCGACCGCCCATGCAGGCATGAAAGAACTTATGGGTCAATTAAAACTCGAGTCGCAACACGGCTCGAAGTCTGGACCTAGAATGGATGAAATAGTGAAATACTTAAGGACTAGAAAAGAGAACAATCATCGTCCGCCCATACGGGCACAGGAGACCGAAGGATAAGCAAGCTCAAATAAAGGCCTGACTCAGAGACTGAGCCTAAAACAGCTGGGCAAAACATAAAGGCCCCAACACCTGCTCGTATAAAGGATCGTACTTGAAAGCTCTGGGCCTGCCCGATCAGTTCCGAACCCACGAGGATCCCGCCAAAACACAAAAACCAGACCACCGGATCAAAGGCGATACGGGAAGAGATATAAAGGAGGAAAAATTTCAAGATTTATCTCATTTTATATATATGCGTGAAAGGTACGCTCTCCATCTACAAACATGCTCTATAAACAGCAAAATACAAAGTGGCAAAATCTACACTCCACCCTTAAAAGGTTACGGCCTACCAGCCCCAGCCTCGTTCTTCATAGCGTCGACAATAAACAAACCGGGCATCATGCACGACTACCTTCGCTCAAGCAAATCCTTCTAGAAGGACGAAACCCCTGGCATGGGTCTCTTCAAGCGCCTGTCCCGAAGATCTAAGACGAACTCATCCCTCGAAGGTCCGCTCCGACCCGGCTCAAATCGCCACTCCTTCATCATCCTCGGTCCAATCTTAGTACTATGCCAGTCCAGGCACCGGTTGTTACCAATCCAGACTTTTGAGGAATCAAGCTACAGCTTCACAATCATATCCACTCGGATAGAAGCTCACCTGCATTTTGATACTTCAGGTATTCCTAGCTCGATCAGCTCCACCCCTAAGGTCGAAAAGGCAAAACGCTTACCACAAGAAGACTCCTGCCTCACCGAAAGGTTTTTGTAAAGCGAGCTCCGATATGTCCTGAATCGTCAGTGCACCAACTCGACCCTTTTTTCCCTCGCCAAGAAGCCTAAGGGGCCTGCCCACATCCAGTGCCCCCCGAAGTATAGCCCCTTGACGGAACAGCTCAAAGACCCGAGATACGGAGGGATCATGCTGAAACCTACCACGAAGTGAAGCCGGACACTTACTCGACGACCGAGCACCCTCCTGGTGGCCCAACCCTTGTTGGCCCAAAGGAACCACCGCTCCGGAACTAAGGACTCTGGAAACACCAGGATAGAATAATGTACTCTCCTCATAAGCACGAGCCTGTCTCGCCCCGATAAAAGCTCCTTCATGATTATGATTCGAGGAGTCACAAAAGACCCTGCACAAAGCCGTTTCATCAACCAAAGGCCGGGGAAAATACTCAAAGCCAGTATCACAAGCGATGAAACAAGATTATGCACTCGAAGTTGCCAAAAATATAAAGAAATACAGCAAGTGTCGAAGGAAGAAATCAAGAAAATATCTTTGTATTTATACAAATGTTCGCTTACAATGAACCTCGAGGGATCCTTACATATAGTTACATTACATATGATTACAAAAGCCCACAGAGGATCTTTACGAAAAAGAGAAGAAGTACAAGTGATATGCATACAACAGGAGCCTAAGGATCTAGCCTATTCATGCTGCATCTCTGTCATCATCCTCTCAGGTGTATGACCTCAAAGACAATATCTTCCAAGTCTGATCCCCTCGGGACCACATCCGGATCCTCCCGGAATGACATCTTCAAAAGGGAGGGTATGGAAAAGGAAGGCTGGGGAGAAGAGCAAAATGACAAAGGAGAAGCCGGAAGAATACGAGAAGTGGCTGGGTGAAAAATTTGGCTAGTACGAACTCTGTCAGTACTGCCTTTTTGAAGCCACTTCTTGAGACATTGCCTCAGCCCGAAAGGCAACATGCGGCAGAGACCACCGACGCACCCCCCTGGAATCCAAAAAGGGTGTAACACGGCGAGCCGAGGGAGGAGGGTGAGCAGCAGTGTATAATCCGAGCTCCCTCTTAAGCAGCGGTGCATAATCCAAAACATCCCCGGGGTCGGAGGAAGTCGGTCCACTTCCTCATCACCCCGGGCTAATGATAACAACAACAACAACAGCATCACAGCGGCACGACTTCTCCCAATCAAAAGAGGATCGAGGATTGGGCCGTGATACACATGGCGTAAAATCTTGAGGATACGAGATTTAAACATGACGAGATGGTAGAAATTCAAGATAGCAGGAAAGGATGAAAAAATGGGTGTCAAAGGAAATTTGGATAAAAAGCCAACCACGAAAAGTCCCATTTATAGGGAAGGCAAAGTAACTGACGATGCCATCAGCGCCCTCGAAAAGCGTAACAGTAGGCGCAATCAATGCGCTCAAAGAAGCTAAATCGATAGCAATAAAGATCAAAGAAACACGATGTTTCTGGTAATCTTGGAGAAGCGGAAAGGCGAGGCACCTCGACACCCATAAAAGAAGGACTGCGCCGTCAGTGCGACGTCGTTATGGGAGATCGAGAAGTGGGGCGTCAACATCATTTCTTATCACTTCCCTCTAAGAAACGCGGAGACAATCTGTGTAAGGTGAAATCTGGGAGGACGATTTCTCCTCGATTGAATACCTCGAAGGGTGACCCCAGAAGCCCGGGATCTCGAGCCTGTCATGCCCCTCAAGATCAGTTGGTGTCCTGCCAAGGATAATGTCGACCAAAGCCCCGATGAACGTAGGGAACTCCCGAGGAATACACCTGTGGTCGATCAGGTCTATTCAAGCGGCTCGACATCAGCCCACGTGTACATCGCAAAGTTAGCTGGTTGTCCCATCCTATTTCTTTTATCACGCAACGTATCTTGTACGAAGTGGAGACTTCCCCCTTTCTATAAAAGGGGAGTCGCTAACACCCTGTAAAGGCAGAGCTCCAACCATTCTGCTCAAGTGCAATAATATCTTCTCTCTCTTTCTCCTCTCTAATTCGCTTGCCCTCACTGGCTCGAAGCCATTTAGCATTATTACCTTCTTATTTGCTCTTTGTTTATCACTTGGTATTAGCTCGAAGTCATCTTAATATCTATCGTTCTCTTACTTGCTCTTCGTTATATAGCTTTGTAGTGGCCATAAAGAGCCTTGTTAATTATATCCTCACCTGTTATCCCGTCCCCGACTATCCCCGATACCTCGAACTCGACCTTGTCATCGACCCCGAGGTCCCTCATCGATCAGACCTACACCCGGGCAAATGGCCCTTCGGTTCGATTACTATCTCCTTTTAGCTCACATTTCATCATTAAACTCCATATTGTTAGCATCAGCTGCTCTAACAACTAGCTCGGGAATAGATCACATATTTTTAGAATCTCATCTACAAATTTAATTGTTGTTACCATTTTTACGGTAAACAGTTGTGTTGCGGCTTATATGAAGCAGGGTGACATGGGATCACACCCGGGTATATGCATAGTAAGGTTACACTATTGTATATACATTATCATGTCAGGGAGAGTGTAAAGTGGAGCTGGTGGTGATATCGGGAGCCGACTCTGAAGCTGTTCGTGCACTCCGGATATAGCTGACACTTGTCCTTGGTAGCTTTAGTTTTTGCTAATATGTTTATGTAACTTTCGAACAGATCATGTATTTATTTGTAACAGTTATGTAAATTCCAAATCTTAGAAGCCCACGATTCGTACTATCAATTCTTGGGTTAACTTTTTAAATGTTCAGATAGTTCTTCTCTATTTTTTTATAATCTCAGTTGGATTGTATTGGCTGTTAGTTGGCTTACCCAGCGGATCGAGTTAGGTGTCATCACGACTAGTGGTTTTTTTTGGGTCGTGACATATTTGGACCAAGAAAAACATAGCTAGCTAAAGCTCGAGCTTTTGAAAGTATTTTTGGACTAAGATTTAAACTTTGTTTAGGAATAAAATTGCTTATTATCCAATTAAAGTAAAAAATTTATACTTGAGATTAATTTAGTTAACTAGACAATAAATGGAATTTATACTTATCAAAGCGTTTACACAAAAGGTTTAAGGATAAATGTTTTCTTTTTTGGAGCACCTTTCAGGCTAGGATAGTTGGAAACTTGATAATCCTGATTAGTAAACTCTCAAAATCAGAAAATTATCAAAGCCTCGCTATATCAACTAGTATAAGTATTATAAATAAATTAAAAAAGCAAACAAACAAACAATCAAGATAAGGCAAATAAGGAAGACATTAGTGTGAATCAATTTTTAACTACATTTCATTAATCTAGTTATGAAACAAGAGATTTATTAATTATATTTATTACTTGACTTTGTTTATTCTTCTAAATAAGTAATACCAATAAATATAGACCATTATTTATCATGCACTTTCCATTAACATAATTTCCAACCCGATTACATTAGATCTACATGGTTTAAAATTATGTCCATTCTCTTCATAATTGAAGAAACTCAATAAAAGGAAGAATATTATACGATGAGACATTTATACACTATATAGGAGATTCCTGCTAACCCTTCCATCCTTATCTATACAGAGGTATATTTGCCTCAACATTCTTAATAATAGAGTTTGAAACTTACAGAAACACTTACACATACAATTTATGATATTTTGTGTAGTCTAGAAAGAAAATTGACAGAAAAAAGAGCATAAACCTTTTTTTTTTGTCTTCTTATAGTGATGGGTAGTTTTTCTCTAGCTGTTGGTGCAGCTTCTGCATTATTTGTACTTCTTTGCATGTTGAACAATGTAAATGGAAAGTTGATCAATGATTTAAACCAGTTGGGAACCAACGGCTGTGATCTCTTCCAAGGAAATTGGGTTTATGACGATTGTTACCCTCTTTACGATTCATCAGTGTGTCCATTCATTGAAAAGCAGTTTGATTGTTTAAAGAATGGAAGGCCAGATAAGGATTATCTCAAATATAGATGGCAATCCACTGGGTGCAATTTACCTAGGTACTTTCTTGAATCTGTAAAGTTAGTCCACCTGTAATCTATAAGTCACAGTTCTTAGCCGTGGAAGCAGTCACCAATATTTGCATTAGGGTAGGCTGTTTACATCATATCCCTTGGAGGCGGCTCTTCCCTAAATTCTGCGGGATGCTTTTGCACCAGGCTACCTTTTTTTTTTCTTGAATCTGTATTTTTTTTAAAATTGACATTGGCTGTTTTATCTTTTTACCTTCTATTTTTTGTTAATTTACTTAGCTGTATATGTTGTGTTTTGTAGGTTTAATGCGACAGAATTTCAACTCAAATTGAAGGGGAGGCGGTGGATGTTTGTTGGGGATTCACTAAGCCTTGATCAATGGCAATCTCTCACTTGTATGCTACATGCAGCCGATCCACAATCTGAGTATACTTCCAAAAGGATAGGAGGAACTTCAATCTTCACATTTTCAGTATGTTTTTCCTACGAATGTAAAATTTAACTCATTTAAAATCTTGAGCCAACTATTTGGACTACACGCATATATAAAATTGACCGATAAGATAACTTATTAAAATATAGATAATAGGTAGATCTCTTTTTCTTTTTGGCGTTTGACTTGTTTAATATGTCATGATAAATAAAGAAAAATCTTTTATTAGTTTTGATTTGGTATATATATAACAAATTATAAAAGAACAAATAAATAAATGAAAAATGACGTGAGTTGAAGGGGTTGAGTTACGACTAATAATTTAACCCCAATTGACTCTCTCATCCTAAGTTCCTAACCCAAGCAACCATTGGGTAAGTTATAATTTATGACCGTTTTAACCTACCCAAACGTAGTTCAATCCGTCTATTCGGCATCCCTGACTTTTTCATCACTAATTCATTGTCAATAAAATGTTGTGTTGATAATTGATTTATTCTCTAAACTGTTACGGTGATTCTAAAATAGACTATTAATCAAGTTCTTTAATTTCCAAGTCCCATATATTTGATTCTTGAATACATTGCCAAAATGCAGAAATACAATACGTCGTACTTGATACTCCGAGATGCTTTCCTAGTAGACATTATTACAAAGAACAACGGGACGCGAGTGTTGATGCTGGATTCTCTCAGTGCAGCTGCTCAATGGAAAGAAATAGATGTCCTCATCTTTGATTCTTGGCATTGGTGGCTTCATACTGGTAGAAAACAAGCGTAAGTACTCTTCAATCAGTTTTCCATATTTCTACCTTAATTATAGCGTATAGATTTTGTTCACTATGAAGGGGAGACTTGGAACAACAGTTGAGTTGTCTTTGTGTGGCATATAAGTGGGGGCGAAGGCACATGTCTTATAAGGTGGTCAACTGACCACCCTTCGCCAGAAAATTATACTATATATAGGTAAAATATTAGAGGTATATAACATATATTGAACACTCTTTATCGTAATTTTTTTTCACTTATTTCAAATTTGAACATCTTTGAGAAAATTTTTGGCTTCGCCACTACCTATATATCACGGGTTCGAGCCACGGAATCAACTACTAACGCTTGCATCAAATACTACCTACATCACACTCCTTGGGTTGCGGCCCTTCATCGGATCCTGCATAAACGCGAGATGCTTTGTGCCGGGCTGCCCTTTTAGATTTTTTGTACTATCACTTAATTTTATCATATATAAAGGTTATTAACTAATGTTTGTCATATAAATTTACTTGTAATTATCTTATAAGAGACTTGAATTTATTAAATATCTTTGCATCGTCAATACATATCAAACCTACTTTCATTAATTGATGGAATTCTAAGTTTGGTCATATTATTATGATTGCTTTTGCAGTTGGGATCTTGTTCAAGATGGCAACTCTACATACAAAGACGCACCCCGGTTAATCTTATATGAGAAAGCACTGAATACCTGGGCAAAATGGGTGGACTCTGAAGTAGATACAACAAAAACTAAAATATTTTTCCAAGGAGTTTCTCCTGACCATGACAAGTGAGTTTAAGACAATTTTATACTTAGCATGGTAAACATACTATAAAATACAAGTTTAAGTTTTGTTCACTGACAGTATGATATTTAACTATTAAATCAGTTGTGCTGGAGTAACACAACCATTGAAGAGTACACAAGGACCTCGTCCAGGAGAATTGGTATTAGAGAAGGTTTTGAGAGGGATGAAAAAACCAGTTCATTTATTAAACGTAACAACATTATCACAGTACAGAGCAGACGGACATCCATCAGTTTATGGGTTTGGTGGACATAGGAACATAGACTGCACACATTGGTGTGTGGCTGGTGTTGCTGATACTTGGAATCAACTCTTAAGTGCAGTTCTTGATCAATTTTAGATCACCATTATGTAAAGAGAGAAGTGGGAGGCATACCATTCCTTTGTTTTTATTTCTTTTCTTATCTTTTTAGGGGATAAAACATAGAGTGCTCAGAACAAGAATATGTAATACGACGGTTATGCTCCAATTTCTTTTGAAAACTAGTATTTTTTTTGAAAAAAATATGTATTAAAAATAGAAACCATTTCTTTTTCTTATAAAGTATATTTTACCGAGATAAGTAATTAAAATAACGAATTAATTATAGAAGAATTAATCTAATTAGTTGTTCATTTAATCGCTTAAGTTTAAAATAGTCAGCGAATATATATTGTCACGACCCAAACCGATGGGCTGCGACAGGCACCCGGTACCTTAACGTATCTTTCATGTCATACTATTATAGGTAAATTAACCAAAAAGACACTCGACATAGGATGACCCAGAATGATATATCAACTTATACATATGACGTACGAGCCTATAAGGCCGAAATAATTACTCGTACACTGAACGTAGGCCAACAAGGCCATACAATCTTTCACGTATATGACACATGTCTACAAGCCTCTAAGAGTAGATAAAAATCATAAAGGTCGGGACAGGACCCCGCCATACCAATCAATACATGTCCAAATCATACTGACCAAATACACAACTCCAGAGCAAATGGAGCACACCAACACCTTCCGCTAAGCTAATAGCCTACTTGGAGTACTCTCAACCTATCTATTGGGACCTACGGGCATGAAACGCAGCGTCCCCACACAAAAGGGACGTCAGTACAAATAATGTACCGAGTATGTAAGGAATGAAAATCAAAATAAAAGTCATGAAAGAAACAAGGAGTAAAAGACTCGACATGTAAGTCTGAATAGATCTATGAATCATTTAATATTTATAATGTCATGCATATGTATATCAATGTCATACCATGTATAGGTATATGCGTAAATAACATCATCAAGCCTCTGATGGCATCCTGTCACGACCCAAAATCCATCAATCGTGATGGCACCTAACCCGACCCGCTAGGTAAGCCAACTAATAACTATCCAATTCCAACAATATTAATAAAATAATTAAAAAAGGTATTATTTGAATCTTATATAATGCCCAAGGACTGGTAGTACAAATCATGAGCTTCTAAGAATAGAGTTTACGAAGCTGATATGAAGTAAATACATCTTCTTTTTGAAAAGTACATAAACAGAGTTTTATAATCTAAGACTACCATGAATAAGAGACAGATACAACAGGGACACAGGTACACCTTAGAACCCAGCTCCCACAATGCACAACAACATTGACATCCGAAATATGCACGCAATGTGCAGGAAGTGTAGTATGAGTATGTTTACAGTGAAAATAATAATAACAATTAAATTTGATTATGAGGTTCTAAAAATACGTGATCTATTTTTATGCTAGTTTTTAAGCAATAGATGCTGGGTAAAAGGTTAGAAATCAAGATTACATCTTAGGAACGGTATGACAATCGAACTGAATAGTTGGAGATCAGGGCCTCAAGCCGTCGATTATAATGCCTCGAGGTCGAGTTGGGTAACCGACTTAGAGCAATCAAGGGAGGACTAACACTTTATGAGAGCTGCGGCAATGGCTCTTTATGATCAATGATAGGCAATAAACAATAAACAATAAATAGAACACAATAAATATAAGCAATAAATGAAGTAATGAGATCAAAAGAACATGTTAGAGAGCAGAGAGAATGTTCTTGTGTATTTAGTATTGAGCAATAGAACCTTACAAAATGACAAGGATCCCCTTTATATATGAGGGGGAATTTCAACATAGTACAAATGCATTAACTGCAAAGATATGGGGCTGGTACATCCATTTAATATTTTGATACGTTTTCTGGACTAGTCCACTAGGCTTTGTCAGCTCTGTTCATGCGCCTTTGGAACTTCACCCTGATCTACCGAGGCCACTAATTTAAATTTCCTCGAGGTCAGTCATTACTTACACTACCTCAGAGTCGATCACCGAGAATCCTCTAAGTCGATCACTGAAAATCCTCGAGATGCCTTGATGATCGTGAAATCGAATCGTCGATTTCTACCATATACAGAGTACAACAGGCTCCATGTACTCAATAAGTAACAAACCTAACCTAGATTGAAAGCAGCAACGAGCTGGAACATAGGTAGGGTCTAACACCATTAACCAATAGCAGTTCATAATAGCGTAAAGCAAGTAAATAAATAAGTACCTCAGAGATATAATGCTCAGCCTTTTTATAGTTTTTCGAAACAGTTCCGCTTTTTAAGTATATTAGTAAACATCCAAATCATTTACCGAAATCGTCAAAAATATGAGTAAGCTTGAAAACTGTAACTTTTCCCCAAAAACTTTTCATCAGGTAAATGTTTATTTTCAGATAGCATGAGAAAAATACATCTCTATGCCTACATGTCAAGATACAGGTAAAAATCATGAATGTCACCAAACCCGGGCAGCAAAAGGAAAAATGCATCTCTCTACATATATCTCAAGTACGTATGTCAAATGCAATGTCTCTCTCGATGAACTCATGTACTCACACTTTCAGAGTACTCAACCTCACTATCTCGCATTATCTCTTATCGTGCTCAATACTTAGCACACTCAATCACTCAACACTGTACAGTACTCGTTGTGGCATGCAACCTGATACACATATATATATATATACATTATCGACTGCGCTCACTAGGGTTGTGCAAACTTCGAAGGGGCTCCTTCAGCCCAAGCGCTATAATCTACACGGACAACTCACATGCTTTAGTATCAATATCAGAATTTGCACAGATAACTCACGTGCTACACAGACAACTCATGTGCTACAGTATCAATATCAGAATTCGCACGGGCAACTCATGTGCTATAGTATCAATATCAGATCCGCATGGAGAACTCACATGTTGTACGAACAACTCACATGCTATAGTATCAATAACCTCACAATTAGGCCCTCGACCTCACTCAGTCATCGATCTCTCCAGTCTCACTCACGGGCTCAGAATGTCATGACGCTAGCTCGACAACAATGATATAATGTATCAATAAATAATAACTGAGACTGAGATATGTTATGAATGCATAAATATGATTGAGTACGAAATAGCAATGAAATCAGTGAAATGACAGCAAGAAACGACCACTATGGATTCCAACAGTATCGGCATAAAGCCTAAACATAATATCTAGCATGATTGACAACTCAATTACTTTATCACATGACGAAAACACAGATATCAACAAAGTAGTGCCACTATTCAATGCCATGGAAACAACTGACTCACAATTCACAAGGTGCATGCCCACATGACCGTTACCTAGCATGTGCGTCACCTCAATACCAATCACACAACACGTAATTTGGGGTTTCATACCCTCAGCACTAATTTTAGAAGAGTTACTTATCTTGAACAAGCTAATTCCAACACCGAGCAAGCCAAGCGATGCTCCAAAAATTTCATTCCACGCGTAGCGTCCTCCGAACGGCTCAAAACTAGCCAAAATAACTCATATACACGAGATAAAGCCCCAGGGATCAATTACAATTGATAAAGATCGAATCCTAAGTCAAATTCTAAATCCGGCCAAAAATCACACCTGGGACCTGCACCTCGGAACCTGATAAAACTCACAAAATCCGACAACCCATTCAATTATGAGTCCAACCATACTAGTTTCGCTCAATTCTGACTCCGATTTGATGTTCAAAACTCAAAAATTCATATTATGAAATTTCTATAATGTTCCCCAAATTTCCATCTCTAAATACTAATTAAATGATGAAAACAATGATATATTCTTGTATATTAACCAAATCTGATTTGAAATCACATACCCCGATGAATTTCTTGAAAAAACTACGAAAAATCGCCACAAACATAGCTCCTAAGATCCAAAATGTGAAATAATACTCTAAACCTCGTTTATATAGTACACCTATGAACTCCCAATGTGCGGTCCGCACAATTCCAAGTGCGGTCACATATCCCAGCTCCTGCAGTCTCACAAAAATGGTGTGGCCGTGCCTTTTGGTGACTGTACTGCCAAGACTTAGTATTTTGGCCATAACTTTCTTTAAAGATGTCGAAATGATGACTTCCTTATCTTTATGAAAACTAGACACGAAGGGATACAACTTTTGTTTTTGAATAATCTCAAAATTATGTGTAGATCAAAAGATATAAGCTTCCGAAGTCGGACCGACGAATCTGCAGAACTCTCTGGAGTGCGGCCGCAGGTAGAATTGTGTGGTCCGCACTCCTTCTCCGTACTTTTTTGCTGGATTCACACTCTTATGTGCGTTCTGCACCTCTCCTTCACATCCGCACCCCCAAAAGTGCGAGAACAATATTAGAGTACCGAAATGCCCGGACTCGCTCAAAACTCACCCCGAAACACACCCGAGGCCCCTCGGGACCTCAACCAAAGGTACCATCAAGTCATAAAACACCATATAAACTTAGTCGAGCCCTCAAATCAAATCAAACAACAACAAAAATATGAATTGCCCACCAATTCAAGCTTAATGAACCTAAAACCTCAAACTTCTACAACCGAGGGCGAAACTTATCAAATCACGTCCGATTGACTCCAAATTTTGCATACAAGTCATAAATGACATAATGGAGCTATTCCAATTTCCAAAATTGGATTTCGATCCCGCTATAAAAAATCAACTCCCCGGTCAAACTTCCAAACTTAAATTTTCGCTTTAGCCAGTTCAAGCCTATTTAAACTACAGACACCCAAATAATTTTCCGAACATACTCTCAGTCCAAAATCATCATACGGAGCTATTGGAATCATGAAATATCTATTCCGGGGTCATTTACACATAAGTCAATATCCCGTCAGCCTTTAAACTTAAGCTTTAAACTTTGAATTTCATTCTTCCAAATTGACTCTGAAATTCCTGAAAACCAAATCTGACGATTCACACATATCATAATACATCATAAGAAGATATTCAAGACTTCAAATAGTTGAAAGTAGCG